TAATTTCAATTCCATTTTTAGTTCAGACTGCAGCGCCTAGATTTCCAGCTGTCCTTCAGGACAATTTAACATACCCCTTTATCAGCCAGCTCTCTGAGCTGGCTAGAAAGCTGAAAGAGAAAATGTTCTTGCAGGCTTTTAGACCTGGTGAGTTCAAAGCCAGAGTCACTGCAGTGTCTCAGTTCCTGCAGTACCTTTTCCTTCTGATCAAAAGGAACCAAGTAAAACTCACAACTCTTAAAAGAACTATCAAATAATGGGGGGAGGGAAGTAAAAATAAATGGACCCTTAATGCCTTCTGAACAGTGCCAGGGAAAGTTCATTGACTCCATTTTAGATAGCTGCACTCCCGAGTGTGAAAACGAGGGCTGATCCTGTTTTGAATCCAACTACTATAAAATATTCTAAAGCTCCATTAACTTAGATATATGAAGGTACAAATATACTGCAAACACCATACATACACACATTGATTTTTAGCTTTGTCCCCTTGTTGATAACATGGAAGAGGAAGACATGATGGCTAAATCTGGACTGTAGTTGTCAGTCATCTCCTTCATCTGTAGCAAAACATAGGAATGTTTTTTTGAAGCAGCCCTGTAAAACACAGCAGGTCTGGCTAGCATTGGCTTACAGTTCCCTGAGTTCTGCTAGTGATTTTTATCAGGGTGCTGGGATGGCCAAGATCTGAAGACTGACTTCTCCCCCACTGCATGCTATCTGCAGCCCAGAGTTCGAAAGCAGCCTTCCCGCATGGAAATTTTGTTTGTTTGGTTTTTTTTGTCGGGTTTTCTTTTTTGTTTTTTGTTTGTTTTGGGGTTGTTTGTTGTTTTGGTTTTTTTTTAATTGGTTTGTTGGTTTGGTTTTTTTTTTGTTTGGTTTTTTGTTTTGTTTTGTTGGGTGGGGGGTGGGTGTTTGGTGGGGTTTTTTGTTTTGGTTTTTTTTTTGTGTGTGGTTTTTTTTTTCTTTTTTTTCTTTTTTTTCCTGAAAAGGTTTCTGCAGAAACTGCTAGATTTTAAGTGCTTAGGAAACAGGATGCAGGAACTGGGCAGTCCAGTGGCAGCAAAACAAAGCACAACTATGCTAAAGACTTTGACAGAATAGTCTCATGAGATGAAATCTTTGAAGAAGGTCTCCCTCCTTCCTATTAATTTTTTTTCCAGAAATCCTGTAAGGAAAATTAAAAAGAGACAAAAAGAAAGAAAAGAGAGAGAGGTACAATCTTAGAAGATGAGACATGGGTTTGGTTGTTTCTGTCACTGCACCTCACCTCCGGGAACAGCAGCTTAAATGTGTGCTCAGTTAGCAGGTCAAACTTCCATGGACTTGGTAATAATATACAGCGTTTTTATAGTGCTTCACATGTTCAGAACATTTTACAAATGCCAGGCCAGATTAATCCAGCCTTTAAATCTGCATAAACCTTGGCATAGAGCTCTGGTGCCCATGAGGTTATTAAGTCTGCCATGAAACCAAATTGTGATGATCAAAAAGAGAAGACTCAAAAAAGGCAGAGCCAGGAAGAAGAGTTTGCTATTTGTTTGAAGAGACAGAAGAAATCTTGGAAGAAGCAAAGAAATGGTTGGTTAATTGCATAACAGATGGCTGCATTTTTAGGGCTGATGTTGGGAAACTCTGGCAAAAGAAGGCTATAAGTTTCCATTCATTTCATCTCCTCTGGAGAACACAGACATGCAGATTTTTAAGGTAAAAAAAAGTAACTCAGACTAACAGGAAGAACTCATTTTGGTTTATGCATTGATATTTTTATTATCCTGAGGAGACAGCAGTGAGGATACTTGGTTGCAAGTAAACAATGATATAAATTATATGGTCTTGACAAGCAGCAGTAAACCCAACTCACTTATTCCTCGATTTTTATGCTCCATATTCTTCTGACTGGTCCACATAGCAGCTGTAAGAGGCTTGATTTGTACTGCATCAGGATATATTTTAAATGTATTTAAAATTATGATTTGTCCTGCTGTGCAGTAGCTTAATGATAACTGACTTAATTCGCAATATAAATCTCCTGTATAGGAAAGGAATTCATTTCCCTTGGGGAAGGCAGAACACCCTGAAACAGCCTTTGTTTGCTGCTGCTACCCCAAAGCTCTTCAATACTCAAGAGGCACTGCATGGAGACAGTGTGAGGGAGACACTTCATCTGATCTCAGCATGTTTTCCCTATTTCTGCCATACTGATGCTCACAACAGAGAGGAGCAGTAAACACAATAAACAGAAATGAGTGAATGCCGAGACAAAGAACAATTACACAGGCAATCACAGTCAGAGGAAGCACATGGAAGAGCTGGGTGGATTATTTGCATGTCAGTCCTGAGTTTCAGTCTTTCCATTGGGTGTGTTGATAGCTACTACTTTGCATCTGTTTCACAATGTCACTATGTGGCTCCACAAACCTCTCTGCAATTATATTTGAAACAAAGTAGATCAATTTATTAGCTGTGGAAAGGTCTCTAAATTATAAATAATGTGCTTGAGACATCATCTCGCTGTTGCCGTGTTTGACAATTGATTCACCACAACACAAAGGACTGGCTGAGGCAGGACAGGCTCCAGAGGTGCCCTTAACTTCCTAATTGAGCTATACTGTTGCTCTTTCCTCATGCCCAAATGGGATTTATTCACTGGAGGCTGTATCCTGTATGTACATCTTCACCACATGTTGTCTTTCTGTTTTAGTAAAGTTGATAATTTCACAGGAGCGCATATAGCCAAAGACACCTAAAAAGCTCAGCCTAAAATGAAGTTTTCAGACATACACACTTCCAGCCCTTCCTGCCATGCTGTAGTACAGCTCAGCTGCACTCTGTAGTAAGTTTTCAGCTGCAGTTTGGGGCCATGAGGTGTTAGAAAACAAATCTCCACAAAATGTGTGACTTGGTTAATGCATTAGCCATGATTACAAGAGTTTGTGTCTCCTTGCACAGTTGCATTTAAAAATCCGACTTTGACGATTTTTTTCATTTTTCTTTGTAACAAATGCCAGACTTCAAATGCTGTCTTTCCTAGCCATGTGGCTGTAAAAGATTTCTTCCTTTTTTCCCTACCATTGAAGGATTGCCTGCCTATTGCAGCTGACCCTCAAAGCACATGCACTGGTCATACAGTTGCCATGATTTTAGGTTGCCACTAATGCCCTTTGTCTCACTATGCAAGCTGCAGGGACAAGCCATGGAGCTGGACTTTCACCACCCTGACCACCACCTTTGGTACAGGCAGAGCCGTTAACAGGCATGCACAGAGCTAAGTATGTTCAGTTCCCTTGCTAGTTCAGACCATCCCCAGGTAGCAGTCTCTCTTCTAATTTTCTCAGCAGGTTCAATGCATCTTCAGGCCCTATAGATCTCTTCCATGAAGGAGCAGCACTAGTGATCAAAATACTGCCTTAAAGGAACATTTATTTAAGTGAAAAGACTTTCAAAAGAAAGTTTTACAATAATGAAATAGATCATATGATAGTCTGATTTTCATCAAGATCTTTAGGTCTAGGAAGACATCTAACTCTTAGCCTTCATCAGCATGTCACCCTGTTGTCAGCCTGTCCCTCCCTCCAACTTCTGGCAACAATCTTCTTTCTTTAATCCTGAGAAACCAACTGGAGTTTGCTTTATCTCCAAGCCCCTTGCTCTGGCAAAAAGATTTGTATCATTTTGGATCCATGAGTCACATCCCTCAAAGCTATTTGTTTATTCCTCCCACTGTCTTCCTCAAGGATGACTGAGGCCATGTATCACAAAGAATTGTGTGGCTTCCTCACTTCCTCACAGAAGCAGCAAATGTTAGAACAATGTGTACATAAATGGAGTTCTGACAACCCACTTATATATTGCTTCACCTGCAACCTCCAGGTCATTTACAGCAGTCATGCAATTAATTCTGCTCAGTACTGTTAGAGCAGCGCACTGCACTGCTTGGAGAATCACACTCCAACCCTGTTACAAAGCAATACACTGAGTTAGGTCCTCCTCTGTTACTCTGGAGTAAGAGAGAACTTACCCCTCTGCCTATTTTAACTTTGAAATGAGTGCATGCATTTCAAAATTCTTTTTGTCAGTTTTTTAAATTAATATTTTAGGAATTTGTATGTAGTTCAGAGATAATTTTAGCTTGATCAGAAAGTGCTCTGGGGATGCTTTCATAAAAGGTGTGGTAGAAATGTACTACATTGCGTCATGTCTAAATCGAATTCAACATATTTGAAAACCAGCTATGGCAGTGAAAAACACTACAGGGACAAAGCTGGCACTGAGTCTATGCTGACAGAAAATGCTTAAATAATTTTGATCTTTGTATTTTCACAGGTTAAGACAAGGGTCTTCAAAAGCAATTTAAATCTGATGCTTTGAGATACGAGCTGATCACATGCAGAAATTGGAAAGGGATTTATAAACAGTGGATAACTGAGCTGTAGCCATACAGAAAAACGCTGGTGGATCTTGGCTGTGTAATGCTCAGTAGTTGTAGGCAAAAGGATATATTTGCTTCCCTTTTTCTCCCTGCCCTGTTGGTAATGATGCAAGGCACAAAACCAGGACATCTTGCTAGCTGAATAAATATTCAGAACCATCAAGAAAAATCTTATTTTTCCGTAGAACAAGGAAGCTGTGGAGCTCTAAGGTCAGAGTTAGGCAGCCAGGTATACCTGGATAATTCCAAGCACTGCAGTTCCTACATGCAGTCTTCACAAACATACATTGATTCACCACAGAATGCTTCCAAAAGAAGAGGAATTCTTCAGATTTCTTAACATTCTCCCATGAGAACAGGTTTCTTTTTCAATCCATTGTGCCACTGTTACAGCCTTATTTTTATTTTCAAGAATTTTCGTTGAATCACAGAATTTCTTTCTGACACAGCTCACCTTTTAGAGATATTTTCCAATTGATCTAATCCATCCATTCTACCTAAGAACATCTTTGCCAGTTTTTTTTTAAACAAAACAAAACAAACAAACAAAAAAAAAAACAAAAAACCCAAGGACCTAAGGATGCATGTGAAATGTAGCATCATTAACAATTCTTTAATATATACCAGTAAATCTGGCAACTTTAAATCATGTTACTTCTTTGAAACATGCCACAGACTGTCTTTTCTACTTTCTACTTAGTGAATCTTCATAGGGTTTTTAATACTCTTTCTACTTTTGCCATGATCAAAGGAATTGCTCTCCGTTTGCTTGTTCCTCTGATAAGTGATAAAAGATGTCAGTGAGACTAATGAGAACTGCCTCCAGCTTCCTTCATAAAGCCCTGTAGAAAAGAAATCACAATGCATCGTCAAACCCACTCGTCTTTTAGGAAATAAAGTGTGGAAAAATACTAGGCACAAAGACAACAGGGGGATGGGAGTGGGGGAAGAGGAGGGGAAAAAAGCTTTTACAAAAGAAACAAAAGAGGGTATTGATGAGTAAACAGAAATATTACTCCTATCAATAATCTGAACTGGGGTAAATCCTGAAACAACTACATATGCAAATGTGAAGATCATTTCTTTGTGCAATAGTATTTGCTTTCACACACACACACACACACACACACACACACACACACATTGTACATGCTGAAAAGATAACAGAGCTTCCCCCTACCCCATAATACAGCAGAGTTAAAAATCAGAATCCAAATCCAAGTTAGGCCTTTACCCCTCAGTGCTCAGTGACGGTTTACATTACCTTTTTCAGGATCTGACAGAGTAAAACTCTTCAACTTCAAAGTGAATTTTGCCCTCTAGTGCAAAGGCCTTCATTCCAGTGAGGACTGAAAGCAGTCTTCAGGCCACAGTGGATGTGTTTCCATTCACTCACACTGGAAACAACTGGAATAATATCCATGGACCAAATGAAGTGTGTATGCATTGAGACCAGTCCCAAACAAGTGGCAAGATTTTAATTTGTGCTGTGAAGAGCTGCTCTGCCTTCTGAGCAAATTCCCCCTCCAATTCCTGTTTCTAATTTGCTTCTGCAGATTTGAGGAGCAGTATCTCATCTGCAGGGGCTGCTTGTATTTCTCTAACCCAGACAGACATCTTGCTAAGGTAGGACAGGCAGTCACAGTTTTCTGAATTAAACAGAAAACAAACATGCATACAAAAATCAGGCTCATTTCTTACGTAGTCTCCTCCTAACAACAGCTCACACACACGTATCAACAACATTTCCTTCATGGCAGATGCCTAGAGAATGTGCTGTTGTTTTTCAAGACTGACAGGGACATGCCAGGACATGGTAGTACTGTGATTTTTGCTGTCAAAAAACTGTGCTATCACATGTGCTTATGGGTTGCATATTAAACCCTGTTGAGCTAGACCTCTGGGCTTCTTAGCAAGTTGTATGAATGTTTAGAACAGAACAGCCTGAGAAAGAATCATGACCTTCCAAACAGAAAACTTGCTGATTTATTTTATTTTTATTTTTAACAAGATTTTTTTTTTGTCTTGTTTTGCATCGATACTTCTGAGTTGTCTTCCTAAAGAGAAACTGATTATTTTGGGCTGGTAACTTTTAGAACATGTTGATTTACTACTAAATATAACTGTTTTATTATGTCTACATACATCGTTTTCTAATTATACACATTTATTAAAGCATGTTCTAGAAGATAATACTCTAGAAAAATATAGATTAAAATCAATATTTATAAATACAAGTTAATGTAAGTGCCCTCAAGAGGAAAATTGCAAAGTTAAAAAAAATATATTTTGCTTTTCAAACAAATAATTTTAATCAACAAAGGAAGGCTTATTAAAGTGATTTGCAATGGCTGTTTCTGACTATTATATCATTCAAGATTTTAAAATTATTAGGTCTCATCTTACACTTCATTTTTAGCCATAGGTAGTGGAAGAAAATAGGCATCCTGCTTTTTCAGACTCAGTGCTGAGTGCCAGCAAAAGGGTTATATTTAATTCCAAGGGGGGAGGAATAAATTGCTATCTTTTTAGGAAAATAACTGAAGACTACACAGTAAAAACAAATATCTCAATTTTCTCTGCGTTGACTTTAGTCACTGGATGAGGTAATTGGAACCAAGAAACAACTATTTTCTTTTCACTGCTAATGAGTAGTGACTCACTGGCCTGATGCAAGCACCTTGCCAGCAACACATTTTGGGATTTTTTTCTTTAAACCTTGAATGATTTAATACATCAGAATAAACTGCACTAAATATAGGCCTAAAACTTAATTTTAAATAGTTTTACTCAATAAAGATTTTCTTAAATTAAAAATCCAATTTATTTTTTAAGTCACTGATTTTTATCCATCCTGCTGTTCCTCTTCATTAAGGGAAGAATGAATCTGATGCCTCAACTCTGATCTTTCTCCTGAGGTGCGGTTTTCCCTTTATACTAATATTAAATATGAAAGGTCTATGGAATCTTAAATAAGAAAACGAAATGGATTTCTAGGCTGGGTAGGGGAGGGATTAAGCCAGGGAAGTAGCCTAGGGGAGAGTGCAGCTACATAAAAAGATAGAACCCCTGTGGCATCTTCTTTGGCCATTAGTTTCACTGGGCTGAGCCACCAATAAATGCCACCCCTGAATTGGGTCTGACCTCCAAGGTCACAATCACACACACTCTTAGGGCCCTCTTCTTCTTCCAAAACAGTACTATTACACAACACCAACCACCAAAAACCAGCAGAAGTTGCTTTTGATTCTGCCTGGGTTACCGTTAACTTCTAAGAGTCAATGCATGCACCAATTAGATAGGAATTCAGTTTCCTTCATGATCATATTCACTGAAAGAATCATTGATTGGGGAAGATAGGCAGTTCTGCACTCATCATTTAAAGCTCACAAATGCTGCCCTTGCAACTTTCCCTTGTAGAAAACACTTGCAGAGAAACAGTGCTTCTTGTATTCAAAGCAACAGATCTTTTATGTTTTGTTTGTTTGGTTTTTTCTTCACTGTCCTTAGGGTCTGCAGGGCTGTTTCCCTCATATATTCTCACTCCTTTCTCTGGCTGCAATTGCTGTTGTCAGTAACTTTTCCCTCTTCTTAACTATGTTATCCCCGAGGCGCTAACTCCAAGGACTTGCCCTTGCCTTAGAGCCTTAGAGCCCACCATCATTGAATCCACTGGACACAGGGGAAGCTTCTGGCAGTTTCTTGCAGAAGCTACCTCTATAGCCCCCCTGCTACCACACCCTTGCCACACAAACCCAATGTCCTTGTGCAAGCAGAGACCAAGAGAGTAGTCTCCTGTCTACCTTGACTATCCATCTTCCATGAGGAAAGAAGAGCATACCAGAAACTGGAGAATTTCAGAATTTCTAAAAATGGAGCTTATGCAAAAAAAAATAGATGAAAGAACAGATGAACAAAAGAGGATAAAGAAAAAAAAAATGAAGAAAAAAAAGTAGTCAAATAAATGTAGAGAGTTTTAAAATTATGAGTGAGGAAGGGAAGGATTTAAAAGAATAATGAAATGCTGACGTACAATTAAAATTTAAAAAATAAAATGCATAAGGAAAAAAGAAAAATAAGAGGGTAGTTATAGAAGTAAAAAAGTTGAAAAAAAAGAAAAGAAAGACAGCTAACATAAGATGCAGATTTCAGTTATTGTGGTATGCTAGACAGAAATCCAGAATGGCTTTCTCAAAGCTGCACTTTAATGTCAGTCTTTGCTTATTTTCAGCAAGAAAATCATTGCTCTTTTCATGTTGCTTTTCTTAAAAAAAAAAAAAAGAAAAAAGAAAAAATCTGACTGGAGACTTTCCAATCCCCCACAAACTGTGAGGATTTTCTACTTGAAAATGAATTTTTTCAAAGGAAAATTGTATTGCAGCTCCATGTCAAAATGTTTTAGACAGCTCTAAGAACACTATGGACTTTTCTTTGTCAAAAGAAACCCAAAACATAGAATCATAGAATCATAGAATAGTTAGGGTTGGAAAGGACCTTAAGTTCATCTAGTTCCAACCCCCTGCCATGGGCAGGGACACCTCACACTAAACCATCTCACCCAAGGCCTCGTCCAACCTGGTCTTGAACACTGCCAGGGATGGAGCACTCACAACCTCCCTGGACAACCCATTCCAGTGCCTCACCACCCTAACAGGAAAGAATTTCCTCCTTATATCCAATCTAAACTTCCCTTGTTTAAGTTTTAACCTGTTACCTCTTGTCCTATCTCTACAGTCCTTAATGAAGCATCCATCCCCAGCATCCCTATAGGCCCCCTTCAGATACTGGAAGGCTGCTATGAGGTCTCCATGCAGCCTTCTCTTCTCCAGGCTGAACAGCCCCAACTTTCTCAGCCTGTCTTCATACGGGAGGTGCTCCAGTCCCCTGATCACCCCTGTGGCCCTCTTCTGGACTTGTTCCAACAGTTCCATGTCCTTTCTATGTTGAGGACACCAGAACTCCACACAATACTCCAGGTGAGGTCTCACAGGAGCAGAGTAGAGGGGCAGGATCACCTCCTTCGACCTGCTGGTCACGCTCCTTTTGATGCAGCCCAGGATACGGTTGGCTTTCTGGGCTGCGAGCGCACACTGAAGCCGGCTCATGTTCATTTTCTCATCAACCAACACCCCCAAGTCCTTCTCCTCAGGGCTGCTCTGAATCCCTTCTCTGCCCAACCTGGAGCTGTGCCTGGGATTGCTCCCACCCAGGTGTAGGACCTTGCACTTGTCATGGTTAAACTTCATGAGGTTGGCATCAGCCCACCTCACAAGCGTGTCAAGGTCCCTCTGGATGGCATTCCTTCCCTCCAGTGTATCAACCGAACCACACAGCTTGGTGTCATCGGCAAACTTGCTGAGGGCGCACTCAATCCCACTGTCCATGTCAGTGATGAAGATGTTGAACAAGACCAGTCCCAACACCGATCCCTGAGGGGTGCCACTCATTACTGGTCTCCAGCTGGACATTGAGCCATTGACCACAACTCTTTGTGTGTGGCCATCCAGCCAGTTCTTTATCCACCGAGTGGATTTGCTTAGAAATTGCTTAAAGATCATAGGGAGAGCTGGGAGTTTTTCCAAAGCTGGTTTTGTTATCCTCACGTAGAAAATTCAAAGGCAGATGAATGGCCACAGTTGAAGTCTGACAGAAATTAGATCCTAGATCTCTGTACCATCCGCCTCGCACATTTTTTTTTATTATTCATTCAGGTAACATCTCCTTCCTTCAGCAATTTCTGTGAAAACCATTCTAAAAAGCTATTCCAGAAATTGCGTTAAATTTTGAGAAACATCTTGTGGAACCACTGCAGTGCTACATGTATTAGTGTTTTTCCAGGGGAATGGGTTGATTTTAATTTTGTTGTATCACCTCTCGAAAACATCTCAGCCAAAGCAACTTTTTATACTTGTTCACTTATTACAGTATTTTTTACACTTAGTAGGCTTTTCAATATGTGTGAAAGACTAGGGATTTACCTGTGTAATTTTTAGGATATAGAGGTGGAGTGTTCAAAGAAAAATTTTTGTGGCGAGGGCTTGTAACAGGAATGTCATTGAAATGCTCATACTTGTGATAAATTCCATTTCAGGGATGTTAGCCAGACCTCCTGTAATAAATTTAGTCTTTCCTAAACAGGAAACCTCAGGAAAATTAATTTGAATGAACAGTAGCTGTGAATTAGCATTCCCAAGTGTCCTTACACAGACACTCACTTAAGGGTTTAACAGGCCACAATGCAATAGAGTCCAGGGATGTTCGGGATATACCTGTGATAGCACAACTTCTGTGGTATTTTTTAACATAGTTCAGATTATAAGACTCATACTGCTTTTAGTGTCTTCAACACTTCAGTACCACTTAGGTTGTGCTCATTTTTATCCTTGAGAGATCCAAGATAATGAAGCAGGGCAGTAGTTTGGCTTAGTACTGCATGGAAATGAGGAGTGAGACTGAATTGCTGCAAAAATCAGCAATACTCTCCACAACAAGTGCAAAACCTGGGAGATGAAATCCTTCTTTCTTAAGGCTCCCCCCAAAATGAAGACCAAAACCTCATCTGGTTTACAGCTGTCTGGACAGACACATGGACACATAACTACCATGGACACAGGATCTAGAAGGAGTCAGTTACAGATCCTGTAGCTGTAGATCCACTGAATCTATATATCATCTCCCTTGCTGGGCAGTCCCTACATGTTGCCAGTTTTCAGTAGAATTTTAGAAATGTGTCGCTAGAGCTGCATGCTGCAGTCCTGCACCAAGTCAGAAGTGCCATGCAGAGGTGAACACCCTCTCAAATTCCATTTTCTGCTGCACTACTTATGTCATGTGTTCAGTTGCTTCTCCACAATGATACCCAAACACATTTCACAATGTCTGCTTTCACAATACCTCTCTTACTCACCAGACACAGTTCATAGTCCCTGGTACCTGGTTTATTACTTTGCTTTTGGGTATATAATGAAAGATTTTATTTTTCCAGCTCCAATCCTACTTTCCAATCCAAGTCACCCAGAAGAACAGGTTTGCCCTTGGTTGGCATTCTGCCAATAACAGTGTGATAACAGTGATGATACAGTGAATAATACCAATTAATGCCAAGCTTCATATTGATATATAACAGTCCTGGAAATATTGCTATTTGATTAAAATTTCTTTTGACAGCTATTTTAAGACAAGTCTATCACCCAGCTCCTAATTAATGTTTTCCATATAGATGAACTATAATTTTCTTTATGTAATAGCCATAAGATTTACACAAGCCTAAATATCTTCCTTATCTGGTTACTTTCCTTAACCAAACTTGTAATTTCCTCAGAAAATGATGTTAGGCTGGTTTGAAGACATCTATTTTTCTTATGGTTTGTGATTGATTTTATTCTCACCATTACAATTATGTTTTTAAATATATACTACTATATCAATTTTAGCAGCTTACTTAAACACCAAGAACATTAGAATTATTAATTTTCAGCTTACATAGGAACCTGGTCACTTTTTAGAAGAGTTAAGAATCTTGGTAAAAGTGAAATTAATTTGTAGCCACCAGAGATTTTTGCTGGTTTATAAACAAAATTGTCTTGACAGAGGTGCAAATGCATCCAAAACAAAACCCAGAAAGGATTCTTTCACCATGAAAGAATTATGCTCACCCATCTAACCAGCTCGCCTTTTTATCTTCACTGTGCTGGGAAACAAAAGTATAGTGAATCAATCCATATATTATAACAAAGTATTATTAAATTGAAAACCCTCTTGCCTTTACTGAATTTTATCTTTGAAAAACAACCCCTTTTGAACCAGGTTGAATCTTTACATAAATTGATGTATTTTCATTCACTTCACTGGATCGCTACACAAAGATAAGCAGGTGCAGGTGGCAGCCCGTGGTATATTTTTATTTCAAATTTTTAGTTTGAAACATCCTCAAAATTATTAACACTAAAGAATAAAAATATTTGATACTGTGCTGTAGAAATCAAAGTTACGAAGCACAGAGGAGAGAGGGGTATTTATGTCAGCATTTCTTCTCAGTGTAGCATTCTGGGTTATGCAGAACAACCACCTCCCACTCACAGAATGAGTGCGAACACAGCATTAGCTAAGGTGGGGTACTACCAGCATAAATCTGGAGATTTCAATCTGCCAGTTTTGGGGTACAGTGACATTTAGATCCAGTATGTTTTTCTTATCAACAGCACTTGTAATCTCATATATGAGAGCAAGCCTTCCCTAAAATGTTTTAAAAGTAGTTCTTAACTGAAGTACCATTTAGTTGTGTTTAGTACTGTTCAGCTCAACAGCAAAAATCTTACTGATTCCAACATGTTGCGGATGATTCTTAGCAAGCTTTTTAAAGGGAAGGGGGTTTTCCAGTTATTAAAGCACTAGTCTCAGCTGCGAGAACTAGTCTTTACTTCTCACTCTCCATCATCCTTAAAGCAAGGCAAAAGAGAATTTAGGCATTTCAAAACAGTCACGTACTGCACAGCAGCTCTAGAGAATAGAAATGCATGCAGAACAGCAAGGCAAAATCCTGGTGTGCCATTTGTACCTTATACACAAATTCCTGCAGAAAAATTAATACCCTCCATCTGCTAAAGAAGGGTGCTTTGAGCAATTTGGAGCAAAAAGGCCATTATAGCTTAAAGCTCATATTTTTCAAATTTATAAATAAACTTAATATGCTCAGAGAA